CATGGCGGGCGGCGCTACTTCTTGCTGCTCGTGGATGACTGCAGCCACCACATGTGGCTGTAGCTCCTAACAAGCAAGGATGAGGCAGCGGTGGATCAAGAAGTTTCAGGCGCGGGTTGAGGCGGAGTCCGGGAAGAAGTTGCGTGTGCTGAGGACGGATCGCGGTAGCGAGTTCACGTCGGTGGAATTTGCCGCGTACTGCGCGGATCAAGGGGTGTTGTGCCACCACATCGCGTTGTACTCGCTGCAACAGAACGGCGTGGTGGAGCGGCGGAACTAGATGGTGGTGGGCATGGCTTGAAGCATGATGAAGGCGAAGGGCATGCCGGCGGAGTTCTGGGGAGAGGCTGTGAGCACAGCGGTGTTCATCCTCAACCGCGCGCCCACAAAGAGCCTGAAGGGCATGACGCCGTTCAAGGCTTGGTTCGGGAGGAAGCCCGACGTCTCCTTCCTCTAGACATTCGGGTGCATTGGCCATGTCAAGAAGACGAAGCCGAACCTCACCAAGCTAGAGGGCTGGTGCTCCTGGGCTATGAGGAGGGCAGCAAGGCCTACCGGCTGTATGATCCGAGAGGAGGCAAGGTGGTGGTCTCGAGGGATGTGATGTTCGACGAAATGGCAGCCTGGGATTGGAAGGATCCGGGCACGGGGGAAGCTAGCGGCGTCGGCGGGATGTTCGTCATCGATGTTAGTCGCTGAATTCTCACTCTTGGTAGTAGGAGAATTCTTACTCATCGAGAGGATGACACTAGGAGTTGGGACAATTTTCTTGTCTATTTCTCACACAAATTCACACAAATGCCATACCAACCTGAGGGGTTGGGGTTACATATTTATAGGCTGCTAGCCAGCCAAGCATATGCCAAGATGCTAGTCTAAGATGCTAGTCTAAGATGCTAATATGTTGTTCTAGCTAAGATGCTGTCCTCTAGTCTAAGATGCTGTCCTCTAGTCTAAGATGTTGTCCTCTAGTCTAAGATGCTGTCCTAAAAACAGAAAACAGCCACAAGGACCATGTGAGCAGCACAGCCCCACAAAGACCAGCCACACATGAGACCACACATGAGACTTATCCATCAATCGAGCACATGGTCATCCGTGGAGGCGGAGATGTTAGAACAGAGGAGCCAGCTGTGGACGCGCCAAGTCTAGCAGCTGTGGCGGCACCGGTTGAGCCGCCAAGTTCGGCCATGGCAAGCGTGGGTGAGCAGTCTCCACTAGCAGCCGCGCACACACCTCCACCATAGTCCCCTGCTATGGCAGAACAGGGGATACCTCCGGTCGAGTTCGCCTCCTCCGAGCGACATCGATGAGTACGTGGACGCCTTCCACGACGGCGAGGAGGTGCGGTTCCGCAGGGTGGACAACCTCGTCGGCGACACAGGAGCACCGGGCCTGGCATGTTGACTTCTCAACGATCCAGAGCTGCTCCTCATCAGCGCACGTTTGCACTGGCCGAGCGGGATGCAAACTGGAGGCGGGCGATGCTGGAGGAGATGAAGGCGATCGAAGAGAATGTGACTTGGGAGCTCGTTCATCCACCTCTAGGCTGCCGTCCAATTGGGCTCAAAGCGGGACGAGCGCGGCGCCATCGTCAAGCACAAGGCACGCCTTGTTGCCCGCGGCTTTGTCTAGCGTGAGGGCATCGACTTCGAGGAAGTCTTTGCGCCGGTGGCGCGCATGGAGTCGGTTCGCCTGCTGCTGGCCATGGCAGCGGCAAAGGATTGGCGTGTTCATCACCTGGACGTCAAATTGGCCTTCCTCAACGGCGAGCTGGCGGAGACGGTCTTCGTCAAGCAAGCTTCGGGCTTCGCCGTCAAGGGAGCAGAACACAAGGTGCTGCGGCTACGCAAGGCACTCTACTAGCTGCGGCAAGCCCCATGGGCATGGAAAGCCACGCTGTGTGTGCTTGGGTTCGCATGTTGCGCAACGGAGCACATGCTCTACACGCGGCGACGGGGCAAGGAGGAGCTCATTGTCGGCGTGTATGTGGACGACTTGATCATCACTGGAGCACGCACGGAGGACATCGACGGCTTCAAGCGCGAGATGGCGGCTCGGTTCCGCATGAGCGATCTCGGTGAGGTCTCCTACCTCGGCATCGAGGTGAAGCAGGGGAAACTCCATCGTCCTAGGACAGCGCGCCTATGCGGAGAAGCTGCTGGAGCGCGGTGGCATGGCAGACTGCAAGCCATGCGCAACTCCGATGGAGGAAAGGCTGAAGCTGTCAAAGCACAACACTGCGGCGAAGGTGGACGCGACGCGCTACCGGAGCATTGTTGGCGGGCTGCGCTATCTGACTCATACCTGGCCGAACATCACGTTCACGGTCAGGTATGTATGTTATCGGTTCATGGAGGATCCTCATGAGGATCATTGGATTGCGGTGAAGCGGCTGCTGCGCTATGTCAAGGGGACGGTGGGTCAGGGGATCGTCTTCCCCAAGCACGGCGGCGGATGTGGGCTGCGGCTCACAGTCTTCAGCAAGGCACTCCCCAAGACCGACGATGAAGGTGGGCTGTAGCTCACAGCCTTCAGCGATGCAGACATGGCGGGCGACATTGATGGGCGGCGTAGCACCTCCGGCGTGCTCGTCTTCCTTGGATCGGCCCCGATTTCACTTGTTGGCCCTCGAACCCTTGCACAGGTGAGCTATCAGCTCACCAGCACCCACACACTCACTCACGGCTGTAGGATGAAGAAAGGGTGAGCACAGAACACGCACACACAATGAAAGTGCTGCTGCACTTTCCTGAATGTTGCTGCTGCTGCATGCAAGTGCTGCTGCTGTGAACTGAACTGAATATATGTATACCTGTCGTTGGGGAGGGTTTGGAGAAATCCAAGCTTGACCAAACCCAAACCCAACTGGCTGATCCCTGTTCCTCCCCCTCCCCAATTGCATCCATGTTCATTTGCCCAAACCCATTGGATAATGGGTTAGCCAAGGGATGAGTAGACCATCGTAAAAAAAGTCAAAACAACGGATGAGGAGACAAGCAGCTCTTCACCCACGCCGTCCTCCCTCCACGACCTGCTTGCATGGGAGCGTGTGCCGCGCCTCCCGGCTGCCCAATGCTGCGGCGTCATGGTCGAAGCCGTGCAGGCACGTGTCGCCGCTGCCATTGGCCATGAGGCTGCGGTGCTGCTAGCCGTGCTGTCCGTGTATGCCAGCAGGCTGCTAGGGACACGGGCTTCCGGGAGGTGCTCCGCGACAAGCGTTGGCCAACCTCGAGCTCGGCATCGAGCGCCTCGTCGCTGCCGGCGCCGCACAGAAAAATTGGAGACGGGTGCGAACGTCTCTCCCTCGCCCTCGCCAAGAAAAAATTGGAGACGGATAAGACTGGGCAAATGAGTGATGCCCTCCCCATACCCTTTTACTAGTGGGTATACCCGTTCTCCTAATGGCTAAAGGATTTTCTATCCATACCCTACCCATTTGGTGTGGATATGGATTTGGGGACTGGGTATGATTATTCAGTGACTGGTATATGTGGGAGCGAATTTAAACAGGCCTGGGTTAATAAACAACCCTCGTCAGCTGTGTTTTTGAGTTGTGGGCTGTGTTACTGAGTTATATGTATAACCACCTGAGTCGCTTTCAGTGAGATGCACGTGGGCGCATGCATGTGTCCTGGGCGCTAGGTGGCACATCCAGGGCAGCTGGCTTTGGGGGTGTTTCTCGGCTTGCACACGAGAAGTTTCTTCTTAATTCAATGCCGTGGGGGCCCACAGGTCAAGTTCTTTTTTTTCTCCATTTTTTCTTGGTGGCGCTGGACTTGACCCTGGTATAATCACCTTTGTCATTCTTTTTTCTACTTATAGGCTTATAAGATAGATTTACTTTTGAGTTTTGCTAGCAATTGTACAGAACTATTTTCCTGTGAAAAGTACAAATAATTTTGTATACATTTGTTGTCAATTACAGGAATCCTAAATACATGTATTTGGGAACTGAGGGGGTATTTATTTTTAATAATATATAATACTTCTATTGTACTCCCTCCATTTCAAATGATAAGACGTTTTGTTTTTTCTACATCTATTGATTTTACATTGTATCTTGACATAAGTGTATATCTAGATGCATAACAAAATCTATGTATTTAGAAATGCCAAAGCGTCTTATAATTTGGAATAGAGGGTGTATTTATTATGGGTTTTACAATGCCTTAAGCTTTTGCATCGTTGTTAATGTATTTAGAAGCAACATGATGCCAATAGCACAAGTTTTAGTTTGTGGCATCCACCTCTAAAAAAGACATGCATGGGGGAAGGCTAAGACAACCCCCCTGGGCATTGCATTAAGAAAACTTTCTCACGCAGGTCGCGAAAACCCCCGAACCCTTACTGATCTTCGGAGCCGGGGTGCAAAGGAAGCAAGAGCACTGGGAGTACGAATATCCTTAGTCTGAGGAAGGTTGCTATATCGGTGGTGCAATTCTTACACATCAGAGCGCCGCCTATACATAACGGCACCGTAGCCTATGGGAGAACGCCCATGACCGGGGTCAGACCTTAGATCTTGTGCTTTGGCGTGGGACAAATGAAGGGATTTTTTTTTAACCCTAGTCTAAAAATTCGCTCCCACAGGGAGTCAAACCCATACTAAAGCCACCTAACCAACTCAGCTAGAGGCCCTTTCGCTGGCACCCACCTCTTAACAGATAATTTGAAGGTAAGAACCTGTTGCCTTTGAGGGGCCGATTCTTTTGCAAACTTTTGCTTGGCAACAATCTGTTTCATATTCAATTCTATCATCGCAGTTAGAGTACTTAAGAGTAAAATTGGGTGCCCATCTTAATTAATTTGGATTGCCAGAATTTATATTGTTAGTATTAGCTTCTAGCCTATATGAAATTTGCAGTCTCATAGATCAAATGTTTGGGATGTAAGTTGTGTATTATGCATTTTTCATTTGTCACAGAGCTAATTTTCTCATCCACAGTAAGAGATCAAAAGGAATGATTTCTCAAATGTAAGCTGTCTTGATTTTGTAGGCTGACCCACACTGCTCATACAAAGTCACTTCTCGTGCTTCACTAAGTGATGCGGCAAGCAGATTCTTTTTATTGTACTCATCAGAGGTAATCTTGTTGTGCCTATGTACTTTGATCCATGCATGACATCATGCTGTTACCCTTTTTCCTGTTTGCTAGATCATATTGATTGTTAAAAGCTATGTGATATGGATTGGGTTGGGTACGATTACAAGAACTGACGGGTAAAGCACTCTGTCATCTAATTGTTGGCAGGATTCTTCACTGTCCATGGTATAGAGGTTCTGAAGTCTGGATGATAAGGGATCAGTGAACTTTCGTCTATTCTTTGCTTAAATTAGATAACGAGATATACAGGCTCAACTTTATTACTGTAGCAATGACTTACAAATCCTGAGTTACGTGACAGCTTACTGAGGCACCTCGAAAGAATGCATTCTCCTTTTCATCTTGCAGCCTTATACCGGGCCTAGCACACCAGAGACTTATGATGATCCTTTGCTTGATTCACTGATAACCATGAAGTTATGTTTGATCTTGCTCCCACGTTGTTGGTGGTTATAGCTTACTGATGATCTTCTTGTAGTACAAGCGTTTTGGTTTTTTATCTGCCCAAGGACTGTCAGTCCAAAGTTTTATATTTCCATTTGATGGTAATGGAAATGGGGCTGACCTCGCTTCAAAAAATCTGTCCAAGGACTATCTATTGATCCCACTAGTCAATGAAGCCCCTGTTGTTGCTTATAATTCTAAGAGCTACCGTATGATATAGCATGCAGTTATAATTTTAAAAACTTGCCTATTAATTTTTATATGTTTTGATTAGCTGTTTAATGGAATTAAAAATCATAGTGTTTTTTTTTCAGTTTCAACATTCTTTTGCATTAATACACACAGCACCTCAGCCCCCCCTCCCCCACCCCCACCAAAAAAAAACTAAAACCTTCATGTTTTGTGGGCTCTGGTGTGCGCTAACTTTACCAGCCTGTATTCTGTATATTTTGAAGTCTTATGAAATTTCTGTTTTTTTTTCTGTTTTTCCTTGTTATATTATTTGCAGATCTTTGCACTGGAATGTGTCTTTGATAATATCATCTTAATGGTTAATTGGTTACGTATTATTCTTATTTTGTTACCTTGTAATTGTATATTTGACTACATAAGAGATCAGCAATGTTTTGTTATATTTTTTAAAACTGTGCCCTGTTCAATTGCAGATTCTTGGTTTCATGGTGGCCATAATGTTTTTCGGCATGATGCGACAGACGTCAGCATGGGAGTGTGATTCTTCTGTGCCATCCATTTTGTCAGCCATAGAGTCTAATCTTGGACTCCCAAAGGCATTCACGTTTCTTTGCTTCATGCCAATACTTGTATTTTTTGCCTTTTTAATTTTCACGACGGAGCAAAAACCACCACTTGGGACCTTCTTATTGGTTACTATTATCTGCTACATAGTTGCTAATGGTTTCGCAATTTTGTTGATACTAAGTTCAAAATTGTTTCTGTATGCGGTTGCCATTCTACATGTCTTCACTAAAAGACGGTTAGTATACACTTTTATATCTTTTTGCCTTAGTATTTGTCTCTTTTCTTTTTTCTTAAATATGATGATACTTCAGATCTTTACTGGTTTCATGAGCTATTAGTCTTGAAATTTCTAACTGTCTTGGGATAGAGATTTTCCATTTGATTGGAGCTCTTTGCTTCTCATATAAGTAGATAACTTTCGTTAGGAACATTATTTCTGAATGATAATGCTATTGGACAGTATCTTTTTGATAATATCTATAAGGAAGATGGCCAGTTAGATTTCAGAATTACCCATCCTTTATTCTATTGCAAATTAGTTAACTTAAATCATCTTTGTTGATTATTTCATTTCTAGTAATCTACAAGTTGTTTTACTGTTATTACTATTAAACCATCTTCTACTTGAATTTACAATTCCAACTTATTCCTTGTCCAGTGTGACTTGATATTGATTTGTTTCCAAGCATTGCTGTATCATTGATTGTATGAATTATGATCTCACCATAAATCATACATCATTTTCTTTTCCTGATCTTGCAACAATGATTTACAGATGGCAATCATGGGGGAATGGTGTTCAATCAGCATTTCTTCGCCAATTCCCCAGTTTCTCCTTCTCATTTCAGTCACTGAAGGTAAATATCCTTATAGAGTATATGGAGACCTGCTTATTTGTCTTTCCTTTTCTTGGAGTCCCTTATATTGAGGTACTAACTGTCCTTCTGGAAAAGACTGTGCAGATGCTTAGGAACAATCCAAATATAATTGTAGCAGTTGCTACATTACCACTCGTCTGTTTGGTTCATCCGGCTATTGGCCTTGGTCTGCTACTTCTCTCTCACGCCTTCCATGCTCATTCAAATCTATGCAGGTTTGATTTTAACCTTTAAGGATAATTTTGACCTGTTTCAATTGTTGAAATATTTTTGAATTGTGAAAACATACTTTTTACGTTTTTATCTCCAATAATATCCCTGTAGTTATGTGCTTAGTTCTCTTTACAGACCAATATGCAAACATATGTTTCATATTTGCTATAGTAGTAGCGATGAGATCTACTGTATCTTTGATTATATTGCTGCCACCATGTATATTTTACTTCATTTGTTGCTGTAATTCAATATCTAAATTGAAATACTACTTTATTTGTTGCTGTAATTCAATATCTAAATTGAAATACTTGTCTCGTGACAGTTTTTTAGCAGCTTCTTTTCGTAGCATAACTCAGAAAAAGGACCTGTATAAGTCCAAGATGGGCGATGGTCCAGTTCTACTATCCAAAAGTAAATCAGATGGGCTCCAGCAACTTCTGCCAATGGATGATAGCCCAACAGCTTCTAAAAGCTTTACTGACAGTCAACTAGAACTGTTTGATTATCGGCATGGTATTATGATCTTGCATCTTCTAAGCACACTCATGTTTGTGCCTTCACTTGTTGCCTGGCTACAGGTTGGTCATTTATAGTACCTACTAAACATCATTAGGCAAATTCCTAAGTTTCGAGTTTTTGTTCTTGTTTGTCATAACCAGTGATGATTCCGTTCTGTTCCTTTGTGTGCAGAGAATTGGCATGGGACAGAATTTTCCCTGGTTCATCGATTCTGCTATTTGCGTTGGTGTTATACTGCATGGACTTTTTGGATCCCAACCAAATGTCAGCTGCTGCATATTTTTCAAGCTACCTGGGAGGAGAGGCCGTGAAGTTGGTCTGAGTTTCCTATACCTCGTGGGTGGCTATTATTCCTTTGTCAGCTCCATGGCATTGGCACCTTATAGGGCCTTGTATGCCATGGCGATCATTGGTTATATATGCTTCATTTCCAGAATTATTGAGAGAACAAATATGGTAAGGGGTGACATTAGCTCTAGGAGGAGTCGGAAGCACTCACACAGACACTGACACACACCATGGAAAGTGTAATTTTGTTGTATAGTGGAACTCGAACCCATTAGTGTATCATAGCTCATTGTTTTGGATTTACAGTTTGAAACCACAAAGCATTGATTGGGTGCGGACTGCTGAGGCCGGTTTTGGGAGTGAAAAAAGGTGGTTTCTTTGTTTGTGCAGTTTTGGCCATCTATGTGAGAATCAGATTTCGATTGTCTGGAGGCTACTTGTAACTGAAAGATGAGGTTTAACGATTAGCCTTCATAAAGTGTGAAGTGTCAGCTGCGGCTGCAACGACGGAAGAGTTTAGCTGATCTGAATGTGGAATCAGTATTGATCTTGTGGTCCATGTGGGTCCAGAGGGCAGCGTGTGTGCTGAGTGTGGTATAAGCCAGCGTGTGGAGTTGTATGAGACAAGCTAATCATTTGTAAGAAAGAGAAATGGGGTTGAGGAACCTTTCCTCCAATCCAAGTTATCCCCTTCTCGATTCCTCCAATCTTGTTTACATTCATGTGATCGTCGATGGCCATGGTTGTGAAAGTTGATATCAGAGACAGTTATCCCTTGTGTGGGTCAAAGGCTTCATAAAGCTCTAGGCTTGTTTGGTTGAGCTATGATTTGTGAAAAAACTGCCATGAGTTGTAGAAAAGCTGTTGTGAGTTGTGCATCTATCATGATGATATGGTCTACATAAATAGAAGGTAAAATTTGCTACGGGAAAGTGATCTCCCTTTGCTGGTGGACATTGAAAATGAAGCAGTTCATTGGTCGACACTTTACTTGTCAAATTTATTGGTGGATATCGGATCCATTAAATATTCATTTCTGGCTTTTGAGGAGAGAGAAGAGCGGTGAAATGTCCTTAATGACTCTGGCTCTTTCTTCTTCCTCACCCGCTTTCTTTTTTCTAGGCACGGGTGGCAGGCGAGCTAGTCGAAGGTGGTGAGGCTTGCTCGTCCTGCACAGTAGCAAGGCCCGCTCTCGTCAGCTGGTAGTCTGCGTGGCAGCGGCCAGCAAGCTAGGTGAGATGCCAGTGGTGGCGGTGGTGGCTAGATCTCGCGCATGCGCGCGTAGCCGGTGGTGGCGGTGCCTGAAATGATCCCGATTTCCACAAAGGGAAATCCACATATTCGAACTATAACGTGATAGTCCCATATAATCATTCCATCACATTATCGAATAACAGTCGATATCACAAGTCATACATCAAATACCTATCTTACAGAGTACAAATAGTAAGGTTTACTCATTATTACATCACCATTTTGTGGAATCACTTAGAGCACACAACATCTAGAACAGAATTAGATAGAACGGCAACGGGCGCAGACTCCATCTTCCGAACCAAACTCGAGCGAAGGACAAGACCTCTAATGACCTGCCAAGCACTTATCAGTACGATTTGTACTGGCCACTGGCTCTCACCTTATGCCTTGCGTTTGCTTTGTGGTAGTGGAATGCAAGGGTAGAGTAAAAGACATATTTATGGTTGTAGTTTCCTATGCAAACGTAGTCAAGTTTTATAATAATCCATCAAGTTTTAACCCATCTCATTCACACATTCTCCTGTCCCATCACACACATCTCACCACACTCTCACTCTCTAGGCGGCAAGGACAACTCCCTCTCGTGCCTTGCCTCAACGGCTAACAACAACCTAGGGGGAAGAAGAAGAAAGGGCTCTACTATCTAAACAAGGGAAGCGTAGGTCATAGAAATGTCCATATCCGCGGACATGGCTATACGTAAAGATCGATCAACTCTGTAGAGTGTGTACACCTGGAAATCCACAAGATCACCATCATCGACGCTGATCATCGTCTAGGCTGATTCCGGTGCCTCCCAACTAGTGCGATGCCACCCTACCTCTCAAGCCCTGGGGCACCTCCGAATCCATCGGCACGCTGAGACTGTGAGACATAGTACCAGGCCCCCCAGAGGTCACTACGGTATGTTAGGAGGGTGTGAGCCATATGCCCGTACCTCCCTATACTATCTGCTATCAACCTAGTAGTAGTGGCACTGACCTAGCTGGTTGGGTTACCGTTCCCCACCTGTCGGGGATGAGTGGTGTGCACGAAGGGTCCTATGATCTGGCTCTCTCGACATACCAGTCCTTAGGGGGACTAGACAGGACATCTTTTCAAGTGGGGATAACCAACACCTCGTGCTTCAACAGCACCTCCATCCCGGGGACTTGCCCCACGGAGAGTCGCCTCCCTAGGATATTCTCCTCTCACGTGTACCCACCATAGGTACCTCTCTTAGGGAATGCCCAGGTCACATCCTCCTGGCAAGACTTGTCCAATGACTCATCATAGAATCTTGTCCGGTCGACTCAACCCTCACCACACACCCAAGACGCACGCCAAGATCTCCCAAAGGTATTACCACATTATTGGCACCACGTGCCATAGCCACTCACAAACAATCCTCCACCAAGCATCACATCACATCACGGATATAATGTGTAGTAGAAGTAAGCAGTAAGTAATAAGCGAGCATCTAGCCTATCAGTGGGTGTGCAGGGGTAAAGGTTGCATCATGGTAAAGGCTTCAAGCAATTCTACCATGCAACATATTACATTTCAATTGGATAAAATAAAGCGCTAGTAGCTACATTATTGCATGTCTAACAGGATTCTACGAGGTTGGGTGGGACGTGTCACCTGTTGGCAGGTCGTCTCCAAACTCGTCGGTGTAGTCGGGGTCGTCCTCCTCAGTCTACTTCTCCTCCGGGTTTGTCAAACGAAACATATAGCCGTGATAAGCGACTCTTATAGATAATCACAAAGAAGAAATGGAAAACCAAAAGATCTAAATGCACTCAAACACAAGCCTATGACATAGAGCTTACTTTTAGAAAAATTTGGACACTGGTTTCATATTTTTCTGAGGTCGGATGAATTTTCTAAGTTTGAATCAATTTATGAAAAAGAAAAAAGGGTTAGATTAATTCTATGATGACACGTGGTGCATCCACTGATGAAGAGCCTAATAATCCACTGATGATGTCACGCTAGATCTGCCCAAAATCCAATTGTTTCAGTACCTCAAGAAGAAAAGGCCAAGATACTGAACCGAATGCCTTGGAGATATCCAACTTGAGGAGAAAACGTGGATGCTTTTGTTGGTGTAGAAATCTTGTGTTTGTTGCACAAGCATAAAATTGTCTTGTATGAATCTCCCCTTGGTGAATGCACTTTGATAAGGAGAGACCATTTGCTGCAGCCTTCCAGCCAACCTATTGGTCAATAGTTTAGTCACGAGCTTGGCAAAACTATGGACAAGGCTTATGGGCCGAAAATCCATGGCACACTTAGCTCCAGCTATTTTGGGCAGCAAGGTAATGAAGGCCGAGTTGAGGGTCTCAAAGTTTCTGAATTTACGACTCCATTTAGGATCTCTGGTTAGCCTAGAGGGGGGGTTGAATAGGTCTGTTAAAACAAACACTTAAACTTTCATCAAATTCAACTTACGGCACTGCCGCTCTGACCTCGCGGCACTGCCAGACAGCGGCACTGTCGTACCTATAGACAACTTCGTGCCATAGTTCAAAATTAGCGAATCTAAACTTGAATCAGAGAAATTTCTTAGCTTTCTGTAGGTATGAGATTCACAGATCGAGAGCTAGAAGTAGTAGGAACACAACACACAAGTAGATTGACCACAAACCCTATAAATCACCTCAACAACAATATGAAATGCAAATGATGTACATCAAGCACAAGGTGACACGATGATTTAACCAGTGGTTCAGCTCACCATTAAGGCTTGCCTAATTCCACGTTGTTGAGGTTAGCCACTAAGGCTTAGGGCTTTGCAACCCTTCCTCGTTCTCAAGTTAAGAGACTTAACTCTTGAGATAAGGGGTGAATTTACTAGCTTTAAGAGGTGGTTACAAACCTCCCGGGGCTGCCACACAAGTTGGCAAGCTCCACGGGCGACGCTCTAGCTGGCTAGGAGCAAAGCTCCAAGAGTAATAAACACAACCGCCGACCAAAACGTGAACCAATTGCTCTTTTGAGTTGGGAATCAAAGGATCTGCTCTCTAATTGAGTTTGAGACATTTTTCTCTCAAGGATTGATGGGGAAATCAAGGGAGAATGCTTGGGAGCTCAAGGTCACCAGTGGAGGAGAGAGAGAAGGGCACTCTTCTGTTCTTGGACGAGCTGAATGAGTGGGAGAGAAAAGAGAGACGTTGGGAAGGAAGGGGAAAGGTATAAGTACCCCCTAGGCCCAAAGGTCACTTAATTCGCGGCACTGCTGCACTAGGCAAGATAGCAAGGGTAAGAGTGAAGTATTGGCTGTCTTGGCTGAATAACTGAGGATGTATGTGTAAGATTGAGCACTTAGTAGCACATGTTAGCTTAACCATTGTGTCCCCCTTTATAGTATGGCTTTTCTTATACTCAAATTCAAAATATAAAAGAATTTAAATCTCCTTTGAGTTTGAAGCCATCAACATTTGTAATTGGGGGCTCCTCCATTTCGTGTAACATCCTCGAACATAGATTCCCTGCTTGTCATCTCGATAAATTTGATTAGTTCTCTAATTGCGAGGTCATTATCACCAAAATCCACAATTAGGTTTTGATTGCACTTTCAATCTCCCCCTTTTTGGTGATTGATGACAACCCAATTAGAGCTTACAAACGATATGAAATGAGTACTCAGATTTTTGAGCCATGAGTGTAGAGCCTCCCTCTAAATGTGTGAATAGAGAATTGATTTCTCAAATTGGCATAAGAAGCCAAGATTCACATTTTAGTGAAAGTGATAGGGCTCCCCCTACATCCATGCTCTTGTGGGGTGCTGCATACTGTGTCAGGTTTGTAGGCGTGATGCGAATGACAGTTCATGCACAACAAGTTTTCCTGTAACAGCTGGGTGCGGCACTGCCGCTTCTGGATGCGGCACTACCGCACTTGCTGTAACAGCACAGATAAGAACAGACACCACACAACATGTAACACATATAAAGATATACATTCTAGCACAATTTTATCAT